GGCTATGGATAATTCATCATTACACAACAGTCCCCATGCATGCAAGAAACTGCAGAATTAGACCTGTTCCCCAGAAATTGGAATTGTTGACTGATACATATAATGTAAATGCTTGAAATATATAAAATTAAAACCATGAGAAAGGGACTATATAGAAGTAAAAAAAATAAGATCTAGGGGAGGGGGAAAAATTGAAGTTCTAGAAATAAAACAGTATAATCAATTATATTAAAATCTTAAGAAAAAAAATCTTAAAAGCAGCTAGAGAGAAAATACAGATTACTTACAAAAGGAACAACAATGAGACAGATGGCAGACTTCTCAAGAGCAACAATAGAAGCCAGAAGACAGTGGAATAATATCTTCAGAGTGCTGAGAAAAAAATAATTGTCAGTATAGAATTCTATACCCAGTTAAATCATCAGGCAAGAATGAAAGTTGAAACAAGGTTATTTTGCAACAATAACAAAAATAAAAACTGAGAGCATTTACTAACAATAGGCCTTGCCTAATGTATTTCATGATAAATAAAATGATCCCAGTAGGAAGGTATGATGGAAGAGGAATAGTGTAAAAATAAAAGGATAATCATGTGAGTAAAGCTATAAGCAAACATGGTCTTTATAAAGAAAAACAATGCCCATTTTAGGGGTTAAAAAGAAAACAGAACTAAAATACCAGACAACAATAACATATTAGATGGGAAAGATTAATCCAAGTTAAAGCATTCTAAGATCCTTTATATTGTCATGGGAGAAGAGAGAAATTAACTTTAGCCTCTATTAAGTATGTATTTGTTAAGTGACATTCACAGTAATGATAATGATTAAAGGACCAAAACAGGCATAAATAATCCCAAAATATTTAAACTCACCACTAATCACAGGTATATATTATTCCGTTTTTTAATCTATAAATTGACAAAGATATTTTTAAGTGAAAATATCTAGTGTTGGTAAAAGTATAGAAAAAGAGTAGTCACACACTGCTGATACACTCTTGATAAGAATTTTGTGACAATGAAACATATATTTGACATAGAGCTGTCAATATCTCAACTCTCTATAGAACTTCAACTCACTGCCACAACAGCCACCAATTTATTTCACGTAGACATGATCCTTTTTATCTGTGTTTTTCAACTTGTTGGCCTTAAAATCCTAGGGGTGAGAGAGCAAAACCTCTGCAGAGCAGTATGCAAACTGCATATTGTATGTGGAGTGAATAACTATGTTTTAATATTAATTAAAATAATTTTATCTAACAAAAATTTAATTTCCATTAAATATGTATATTTCTTCAATCATATTATAATTAATAAAAACTACAAAACTCAATTTGCATGAAAAGAAATGAAGTGCATGTGATAAAAAGTTAAAGATAACCATTAAAAGCATATAAATAGTACATGTCTTCCAAACTAAATAAGAGGGGAAATGGAGTTAAAAAGCAAAAACAAAATACTGTATCCATCCTGATTAAGGAGAGAGATTACAAAAGGAAGCAAAGAAGATTAAAAGAGTAAACTAAAAGCATAAAATAGGGGAGAAATAAATTTAAGCATATTGGCAATAATTAAGTGGAGTGAACCTTCAAATTTAAAAACTAAATTCTCAGATAATATCATATTGCAGTGGTTACCAAACATGTCTGAATATTTGAACAACCTAAGGAGCTTCAAAAAACAATGATATTTGCATCTCATGCCCAGAGATTGTGATTTAATTGGTCTGGGGTGTGGCCTGGGATCTAGAATTGTTAAAAGGACCCCAGCTGTTTCTAAAGTACATATAAGTTTGGATATCATTGCCATATTTTTTTCCAAAGTGGTTATGCCAACTGATACTGCCATCAGTAAGGTATAGAGCATTTAAAAAAAAAAAAACCGGGCTGGCCCACTGGCATAGTGGTTAAGTTCACATGCTCCACTTCGGCGGCTCAGGGTTTGCCGGTTTGGATCCCAGGCATGGACCGACACACTGCTTGTCAAGCCATGCTGTGTTGGTGTCCCATATAAAGTAGAGGAAGATGGGCACAGATGTTAGCCCAGGGCCAATCTTCCTCAGCAAAAGGAGGAGGACTGGCAATGGATGTTAGCTCAGGACTGATCTTCCTAACAACAACAACAACAACAACAACAACAACAACAACAAAAAAAAACAGACCTACTCACATATAATTCCCAAACCTATAGTTCATTCAAAGTGTACAATTCAATGGTTTTTAGTATATTCACACAGTTGTGCAACAATCATCACAATCTAATTTTATAACATTTTATCACCTCAAAAAGAAACCCCATGCCTATTAGCTATTATTTTCAATTTCCTCATTCTCATTCTCCAGTCCACTCCTACCTCCCAGCCCCTGCCCCAGTGCTGGGCAACTACTAGTCTACTTCCTGTCTCTACAGATTTGTCTATTGTGGACATTTCATATACATAGAATCATACAATATGTAGTCTTTGTGTCTGGCTCCTTTCATTTAGCATGTTTTCAAATTTCATCCATGTTGTAGCATGTATCAGAACTTCATTCCTTTTTATTGCTGAATAATATTCCACTGTAAGGATGCACCAAATTTTATTCATCCATTGATGGACATTTGGGTTGTTTCCACTTTTTGGCTATTATGAATAATGACGTATACAGTACTTCTGCCTCCAAAAGTTGTGAACACTTGGTACTGTCAGACTTCTTAATTACTGCTAATCTAGGATGTGTGAAATAATTATCTCACTGTGGTTAATTTGCATTTCCTGATTGCTAATGAGGTTGAGCATTTTTTCAGGTTTATTAGCTACTTGCATTTTCCTTGAACTGCCTATAAATGTCTTTTACTCAATTTTTCAAAAAGGTTATTTACCTTTTTCTTATCAATCTATAGAAGCTTTTTATAGTCTAGATACTAATTTCATGGCAAATATCTTCACCCAGTTCATGGCTTGTCTTTTACTTTCTTTATGATGTCTTTTTATAAAGAGAATAATTTTCATGCAGTCAAATTTATCAATCTTTTAATGATTATTTTTAAAAAGAACTAAACAAAACCTTAAGAAATGTCCTATTTGGTTCTCTTTCAAATCTGTTCCTTTATGAAAATCCTATTGCTTGTCATTTTTGCAATTTAGTCCATTTCTTTAAACATTTTGCCAAAGCTTATATTTACATCTAATAATTCCAATATGTGAAATTTTTTGCCACGTAATCTGTTGTTTCTTTAGATTATCTATCACTCACCTGTGACCTGTTTCCTTGTGGGTGTGATGATCTTTTTGAGTTCATCTTTTGTTGATCTTAATTTGTGAGACTTCTAAAGCCCTCCTACTTTCCTCCAGAGAGGATCTGCATTTGCTGTGGCCAGGAGTCAGAGGGTACCACCTTAGCGAATAAAATTTCAACTCCTTTTTTTCTATTGCCTGTCTTTATCTCTTATTACTCTTTCACTCACTCTTCTTTAGATATAATGTTTTTCTCTTCCTCCTACAAAGTTAATGCCCATCCCAAGCCCTTTACACTTACTGCTCCATCTGCCTGGAATACTGTTCCCCCAGATATTAGCCTGACTCATGCCCTTAACTTCAGTCAAGTTTTTGTTCAAATATTACCTCTTCAGAGAGGTTTTTCCAATATCGATCTATCTAAAATGGCCCACCTCCATTCCCCATTTAGTTCTTTATTTGCCTACTCTTCTTTACCTTTATTCATAGTGCTCATTGCTACCTGCAATTGTTATATTTGTTAAATAAAGGTATATATGTGCATATATAGGCATACACATATACACATTTTTGTTTCCTTATTTATTTTGTATTTCTCCCATAAGCATTAAGTTTTAGCAGAATAGGAACTTTGTCTAGATTGTTATTTCACCAAGGCCTACTACAGTCCTTGGCACAGAAGAGGCCCTCAATAAATATATTTTGAATGATATATTGAATAAATATATTTTGAATGAATGAACACATTTTAAAGAATGAAGACAATGATATGAGTCTAAATACAAAAAAAATAAATCTGGAAAAAACCTGACTCCCAAGTTTACATAACAGGGTTGTCACTAGGGAAAAGGAAGAGCCCCTCCCTCCAATGAAAGTTGGATGGATTATTATTAAAGACTAAAAGGGAGAAGAAGAAGTAGGGATTAGATGGGATTCCTTAGGGAGATTGTGCTGCAAAGCCCTTGCTTTTCTTCTCAAGTCAGAGAGTTTTTCCCATACATCTTGGGCCCTGCAGGGGAGTGTACCCACCAATAACTTCATAAAGACTTTGAGGAAAGAGGAGCGAAGGGGCAAGAGACAGTTATATTCCACTGACTTGGAGAGTCCAAAGAATCAAGTGATCGTGTAGGTGGGAAAATCACTTAATAAAGTTTTAATTGATATAGGCTCTGTCTCTTATTTTGCTACAGGAAAAAACAAACTCTCTTAGACAATCACTGGTTCTTCCTGAGCTATTTTCCAAAAACTGGTTCTAGCATATTCATTCAATGTAAAATACAAAGTGCTTAAAATGTAATATTCAACCAAAAAACAAATAAGAGAATGTGTTTGTTGTAATGGATTGTGTTCACTTGAATTATTAGTAAAATGCACTGATTCACCCTATCACTATATAAATAATATAAGCTCTTATGTTGTCAGAAAAACGTCCATTTCTGCATCCATTTTTTAAAAAATATTTAGAGCTCCTTTAGTAGATCTAAATTGTAACAACACATAACCTGTTTTTTCTGACAATATTGCAAGTGTCCCAGAATTCAAGTCTAGCTCCTTGATCATCAAGGAAGACAGAAGAAAGGTATGTAATTATATTTGAAGGATGGAGAAGATAAATGCACCCGATGAAACTATCTATGTCGACTGCCAGTAATTTAAAACCATTCCTTTGAGAATAAGAAGAAGAAATTCAGTTATTACTTAAAAACAACCTGGAAATAACATTAGAGAAAACAGCCATTCCAGAGGTAGATCCTGAAACACTATGGGTAGATACCTTACCTAGTGACACCAGGTTACTATAGTTCTCCAACATCACATCTCTATACAAATCTCTCTGAGCAGAGTCCAGGCATTCCCACTCTTCCTGAGAGAAGTCAATGGCAACATCCCTGAACATCACAGATCTCTGAAACAACAAACATAATACTAGTTGTGGAAATAAAGAAAATATTTTTTCCATGGAGGGAAGATGATGGGGAGCTTTCCACAAAGGAGGCAACAGAGCAAACAGCCTGGGAAGCCTCTGACATGGATGAGGCACTAAAGAAATTGGTGCTTCTGAAGTGCCAATATGTTCCTTTTCATTCCTGTTGCTGTAGATATTTCCTGCATATAGAACATCTCATTATAGAAATAAGTCTGAGAATTAATAAAGTAAATGCAATGTCCCAATTAAAAGAAATAGCATACATGGGTGACCTGTACAATATGTATCTTGTATATCACACATTCTCAATAAATGCAAGTTTCTCTTTCTTCTTCTCTATTTAAGAAATAAGAAAAATAATTGGGGAAATTTTTCTGTAAAATCTTATAAAATCTCTATCTTATAAAATATGATTTGTATAAAAGTAAAGAATTTATTGAAATGTCAGGTTCATCATTATATCAGAATATTACCTGATAAGCATTTTCCTTGTTGCCAATAATTTAGTAAATATTTTTAATAGGCTACAGAATAGCTCTATATAATGAATTTATCTGACTTAATAAGTGCATATTTGAACATTTTAGGTTATATAAAAATCTCATAAGCATTTCTTACATCTAAATGTAATTTATAATTACATTTTATAATTCTCAACAACTTTTGTATATGAATGATGATCTTTCTTATTACTATTCATTACTTATAAACATAACTTTTCTTTGTGCTAAGTAATAAAAAGGTGGAAAAGATAATCCAAATGTACACATTGACGATTAGCACATAACATTGAATCTCAAAATGATCCATATTATTGGTATTTGTGAATTATAGATTCCCAGGGAAGATCCCTGATCTCTCTGCCTTCAGTCTCTAATCATGTTCCTAATCTTAAAAGCTCACAAAGCATGAGCTCTTGCCATGTAAGGAGACTGAGCCCAGTCAAGACTGACTCCTATCCTGTCTAACTGGGAAACAGGTCTAAAGAGAAGTTCAAAGTTTTCTCGTGTGGTGAATCTGCTTTTGTTATATCAGTGCTGCTAGTGAAAGATGCTCAATGAATTTTTGAAAAGTATGGAAATACAGGTTAGATTAGAAAGACATACTTAGGGAAGACGTTATCACTTATAAGAATGGAACAAACTGGGAACACATTCCTGAGTGGGGTCAGTTAGGAAGGAAGTTTCAGGAATGCAAACATGCACATATTCTGTAAAAAAGTGACTATTTAAAGAGGGCACAAGGAAACACCAATTTACCTGAGCCATGGTTTTTAGAGCTGCAAGAAATGATCAATCCTCTTCTGGATTCCTATCTTAGAGAAGCGCAGAGTCTGGAAAAGGGAGAGCTGAGAGGAGAAAACAAAGCCATGAAACCATGCTCTTTGCAAAGCTCCAAATGAGTAAGGTAGAATTATCTCTCTTGCTCTCCTCTTCTTGTCTCTTGCTTCCATCCCCAAAATACACACTAAACAGAGGAGATATAGGTGGTGGTTCTTACCCCAGTCAAGCTCAGTGCTCTCTAAATACAAAAAGAAAATATTTACAATAATTTTTCTACCATTTCTGAAATGAAACTTATAGATAATATGACATATTTATATATATATTATACCAAAAATAGAGATAATGACCAACTGTTATATTTCAACATATTAATGATCATAAACAACCTCACCAGAAACCACAAATAATTAAATGCTTATGCTTACACCTACTTATAATGAACAAATTTAAATTTATAAGATGACAATATTCAACTAAGTATTGTTGACATCTTTTATTTATATTTGACATTTTAAAATAAAGGCTGTATATGTACATAGGCATACCCCGGAGATATTGCAGGTTCAGTTCTGGGCCACTACAATAGAGTGAATATCGCAATAAAGCAAATCACCTGAATTTTTTTGGTCTCCCAGTGCATATAAAAGTTATGTTTACACTATGCTATAGTCTATTAAGTGTATTATGTAGTATTATGTCGAAGAAAACAGTACATACCCTAATTAAAAAATACGTTATTGCTAAAAGATGCTAACCATCATCTGAGCCTTCAGTGAACTGTAATCTTTTTACTGGTGAGGGTCTTGTAAAAAACACAGTATCTGCAAAGTGCACTAAAGCAAAGTACAATAAATGAGGTATGCCTGTATATATATGTGTGTCTCTGTGTTCACGTGTGTGTGTGGAGAATCAATGAAATTCATTATCTACAAATGGAGGCTTCTACAGGTATGTGATGTTGGCAAGTCAAATATCACAAGCAGTGGTGCCATCAGTGCCGTGACTTTTGAAATGGTTAAAAAAGAAATCTCAGCAAATTTCTGAATGAAACAAAGTACAGTCTTTTCTCAGTCAAACTATAGTAGCACTCCTAGAAGATTTAGCTAATAGTAAAACCAGGCAGTAATAGTAAAATAGATAAATTCAGCGATTCTTTAAAATCATGCAAAAAATGCTTTATATGAGGGGTTCCAGACCCAGATAATTATAAACACATTTTTTTACCAGCTATGGTCCTCATTTTGCAGGTTATAGAACAATTCTTTGTTGTGTACTGCAGGACATTTTGATCAAAAGTTGGCAAACTACTGCCCACCAACTATTTTTGTAAATAAAGCTTTACTGGAATACATCTACACTCAACTGTTTATAAACTGTCTTTGGCTACTTTCACACTATAGTGGTAGAGTTGAATAGTTTCAACAGAGACCATATGACCCATAAAACTTAAAATATTTACTGGCTAGCCCTTTACAGAAAAGCTATCTAAACTATGATCTAGATCCATGGCTTCAGTCCTTCAAAAGCCAGAAGCCTTCAACCCTCAACCCAGTTATTTTAACATTCAAAAGCACCCAGATATATTTCCAAACATCCCCTAGGGAGACTCACTGCCCCTCCAGAGAATCAGTGATAAAGGTGCTCAATAAATAATTAATTAGAAATTCTACTTCTTCCAGATGTGGAAAGCTCAATAGACAACTGTGCCATCTTAACAACCAAAAATAATTCAGACAAGATGAAAAATCATAAATTCTTTTAAATTCATCACAGAGTGGAAGACACAAAGAAATTTAAATGAAATAAACTTCAAAAAGTGCCAACCTCTTTTTAAAAGACATATATGGATGCTCCCATCCCTGGCAGGGCTCAAACTAAATTGTGATTACCTTAAAGGTAAACAGCCCAACCATTCCAATAAAAAGACAATGCCAAGATAAAAAAAAAGTCACAACTATATGCTCTTTACAAGAAACGCACTTTAAATATAAAGACACAGATGAGTTGAAAGTAAAATGGTGGAGAAAGATATATCATACAATACTAAGCATAAGAAAGCCTGCGTACCTGTATTAACATAAGACAAAAGAGACTTTAAGATAAAGAGTAAAACTAGAGATTAAGAGGACAACTTCATTAGGAAGACACAGCAATCCTAAATGTGTAAAGATTTAACAACAAAGCATCAAAATATATGAAGCAAAAATTGAAAGAACTAAAGGAAGAAATAAACAAACCCACAATCAGATTTGGAAATTTTAACATCTTTCTCCCAGTAATTGATAGAACAAGTAGATAAAAAAATCAGTAACAATATAGAGGATTTATATACAACACTGTCAAGTTTCCTGACAAAATTGATACCACACCCAACTGTCAAGACCTAAGCTGAGCTGAAAGAGCCGAGCTGGCAGTTGTGAGAAAAACTGATTAAGACAACAAACCAAAATGAAAGTAACAGTCAAGGCTTTAATCATTTACTAATCACTTAGTATAAGCAAGAGGCTAACCCAGAGAAAGCGCTGACTCCTCCATTGTTCCATTTTCCCCATAGAACAATATCTAGAGAGGGTCAGATGGATCAGCACAGATGTGGGGAGTCATCTCACTGCCAAGGGAGTACCAAACAAAAGACTCCTCCCATTTCCTGGAGTAGGGCCATGGAGAGGGAAATGGGGCAAGGGCTAGGAGTAGAAAAGTACTGAGTACTGAGTCACAGCAGAGAGAAAGTATCTTCAAGGTTTTCCCACCTACCCTTGATAAGGAAGTCTTGGCAGAGGTGCCTGATAAAGAGGTATCCTAATGGAGGTGCTTGGGCTAGGATGCAGATATGCATAAGAGCATGGCTGGCCAGGGGGCCTGAGTCCTTGACCACAACTCCCTTAGGAGACTGCAATGCACTGGCTATGCACTAAGTCTGATGTGGGGAGGAAACAAGTTATCAAAGATATTTTAAAATTGAATCATACAGAGTATATTTTCTGGTCTTTGTCCACACATTATTAAATTAGAAACTAATAAAAATAAGAGGTCTAGAAGAATCTCCAAATATTTACAAATTAAACACACTTCTAAATAACCCGTGAGTCAGAGAAGAAATAACAAAGGACATTAGCAAATATGTTGAACTGAATGACTATTAAAACACAACTTACCAAATTTTGTGGGATGCAGCAAAAGCAGTATTTAAAGGGAAAGTTACAGCTTTAAATGCTTATATTAGAAAAAAAGGATGATGTGAGATCAATGATTTAGGCTCCTACCTTAAGGAGCTGAAAAAAAAGAAGAACAAATGAAGTGCAAAGTAAGAAGAAAAGAAATAATTTAAATGATATGGACAAATTCCTTAAAATACAAATACCAAAAGTCACACAGAAGAAAAAGAAAACATAAATTACCTCATAGATATTAAAGAAATTGAATTTTTAGTTAAAACAAAACAAAACATCTTGCCCACAGAGAAAGTCCAGATGGCTTCACCAGTAAATTCTATCAACACTTAAGGCAGATAAAATACTATTCTTTCACATACTTTTTCAGAAAACAGAAAAAGGAGAAAACACTCTCTTCTACATTTTAAAGCCAAATAACTGTGATTCCAAAACCTAACAAAAATATTACCAAAAAAAAATTATAGCTCAATATCTCTCATGAACATAGACACACAAAAAAATTATAAATTAATATCAAGTTGAATCCATTTGACTTTGGAACCATGAGTATGTTTTATATAAGACAAATCAAAATGAAAAAAAATACCTAAGAACCAAAGGCAAAACAAAATACATTTATCTGTACATAATACTAGCAGGGTAAATACAGAAAGGAAGTGGTTATTTCAAGGAACTTTAAAATAACAGTCATTTGACATAGATCCCTAGCATAATAAACCTATAGACAGAATAACCATAAACTGTTTTTCAGTAATTACACTGTTATTAATAATATTGGCATTGTTATTCTAAAACATATATATATTCTGAAACAATTACATGCACATACATATATATCAATGAGAATAAAGCAATTATCTTAATTATCTTAATGTTATTAGGAATAAAGATTTTCAGAGTACAAAAGGAAATACAAATATAAAATCAAGAACAACTCTATAATCTTTAAATTCAGTTGGAAATATCAGTATAAACTCAGGATTTTTCTCCTTCTAAAAAATATGTATTTAACCAGCTCTGTAATGGCCTACAAGCAATACCAACCAGAAGCAATGAGAACTCCTACTATCTTACTTGTGGCTTCTTAAAACCACTTCCCACTAAAAGGAATCAGGGCTCCATAAAGAAGTGGCTGGTTTCAGGTTTGGGACAGGAAAACATATTGTATAAGATGAGCCTACAACATCTTGTCATACGAGAAAGTTTGGAATCTACCAAAGACTACTGGCGTGATGTCAAAAGGAATCCAAAAGAAGTCAAATCAGAGGGAGTAAAGAGGAACCACTGGCCATAGATGGACAATTTGGGTATTAATACTAACAATAACTGCTATGGACTGAAACGTAGCAAATATATTTAAATCCTGAAGTTTATAATGATAATTTAAAAGGAAAACATAGGATAAACTTTGGAAGATGCTGAAAAATAATGAGAGAAAAATCAAGCTTTTATCCTACCTTTTTTTGCATAAGCTATACTTCAGAGTAACAAAGACACTAATGAGAGGATGGGTCCCTTTACAGAAGCATTCCAGCTAACAAATGCAGAAGAAACGATAGAATTAGACTATCATTTTGTAACTACTGATAAAATAGTGGATTCCAAGTAAAGATGATCAATAGCTACTACCATCACATAAAGGAAAACAACCAAATATTATGCACAACTTCATAGATGTTCACACCATTATCTATAAAGGATTAGTGCAAAACAATCAAGCAAAAACACAAAAAACCTGAACTTGATCAAGCCTCTAGAATTAAATACCAGTTTACAAGAAATACAGGGTTAGGGGAACATGTTAAATGATACCACATATATGCAATCAACAAAATCCAGAATATGGGTAACTCTATAAGAAAACTCTGTTTTTGGAACACATAAACTGCAAGAAAAGAGAAAGAAAGATTTAAGAAACATATCACACTATTACAAATAGTGTGTAATATTTGTACACAAACAGACATTGTTTGGATCTTGATTCTAACAAACCATAAAAAAAATATTTATGGACAATGGGGTAAACTTGAACACTGAATGGCTGTTTCATGACATTAAGAGAGTATTGAGTTTTTTTCTTTTTAGTAGTAATGATATTGTGGTTATGTTTTTTAAATAAAAAGTTCTTATCTTTTAGAAACACATATTAAAATATTTGTGGATGAAATTATGTATCTGGAATTTACTTCAAGATAATCCATGGTTTTTTAGGGGGAGAGAGTAGTGGAGCTACAGATGAACCATGTTTAGTCATAAATTGGTATTTGTTGAAGCTGAGTGATGGGTAGGGTATATGGGGATGTATTACACTATACTTTTTAGTTTTGTATATGTTTGAATTTTTCCCTAATAAGAAGCTAAAAAAAAAAAAAAGACTTGGGCTGGCCCGGTGGCATAGTGGTTAAGTACGTGCACTCCACTTCGGCGGCCTGGGGTTCGCAGGTTGGGATCCCAGGCATGCACCAACGCACCAGTTGTCAAGCCATGCTGTGGCGGTGTCCCATATAAACTAGAGGAAGATGGGAACGGATGTTAGCCCAGGGCCAATCTTCCTCAGCAAAAAAAGAGGAGGATTGGCATCGGATGTTAGGTCAGGGCTAATCTTCACAAAAAAAAAAAAAAAAAGACTTGAAGGATAGATTCCAAATATGAACTGTGATTCATTCCAAGGGAGGGTTTTTGAGTAACTGTTATTTTCTTCCTTGTTTGTTTCTTTTTGTGTTTTCTAAATTGTGCTGACAAACATGTATTACTTTGATATCAGAAAAAAAGGAAATAACAGCTTCCTGAAATTTAAAACAAGGACATGCAATGGTTAAAAAAAAAAGAAATTATCAATAAATTCAGAGAAAAAAGAATATTTAATAGTATAAAGATAAACTCTAAGACATTTTTTTAAATTGGGTAATGGAGAAAAAGATGGGGGGGAATGAGGAAATGCACCAATTTTATTATTACTCAGAGTTGTGATTCAGGTAGAATTTATGTCAAAAGCATTAAAATAAACTAAAAGTAAGCCACTTCTAGAAATGTGCCCCAAAGAAAAACCTCTACAAATAGAAACCATATACAGTTATTGATTGCTGTATTATGTAATGCTAAATATTGAAAAAAAATGCCCACCCATAGGAGACTGGCTGAATAAACTATTACACCCACACAAAAGAATATGTAGCTATAAAAAAGAATGAGGAAGAACGCGATAAGCTGCTACGGAATGATCTCTGGGATATATTAAACATGTGAAAAAAAAAGGAAGATGCAGAACAGTGTACATAGAATGCTCCCTTTTAATTAAGAATGGAGGCAATAAAAAATATATACATACACATACAAACACATACACATAAACATATATATCATTTAAAAGAAAAATAGAAGAATAAACCAAAGAGAAGTACAGGTAGTCATCTAGAGAGGGAAAAAGGAAACAGGGTGGAGGGGACAGGAATGGATGCTAGACTTCTCTGAATTCACCTTGCTCTGTAGTTTTGATTTTGGAAATCTATAAATATTTTATGTAATTTTAAGATGAAGTTAAGTCAAAGTGGGGGAAAAACAATCCCTATAAAGTAGAAAGCAAGATGAAACAAAGAAGCCTAACTGTGTGTCTCAAACTGGTGGCTTAACTATATGAGACCTGTTATTTTAGGTGACTTTAAAAACACAGTAATTTGATTATAGATCACTAGTGGGTTATATCCTATTGAACTCCAAGAAGTCTTGATTGTTTTTCTATATTCATATGGTTGGTAAAAATATTGGTATTGCTATTTTGAAACTCTCTCAATTCAAAAGAAGGCAGAAAAGAAGGAAAAGGTAATAAAGAACAGATGGGACAAATATAAAACAAATGGCAAGATGATGGATTTGACACAAACCAGATCAACAATCACACTAAATATAAATGGTATAAATATTCCAATTAAAAGACAGATATTATCAAACTAGATAAAAACACAAGATCCAACTAAATGCTGCCAACAAGAAATGCACTTTAACTATCAGAACACAAATAGGCTAAAAGTAAAAAGATGGGAAAAGATATACCATGCTAACACTAATGAAAAGAAAGCTGGGGTGGCTACATTAAATATCAGACAAAGTAGATGTTCAGAGCAAAGAACATTACCAGGGATAAAGAAGACCATTTCATAATGATAAAGGAGTCAATTCATCATTAGGACATATAATCTAAAACATTTATGTACCTAATAACAGAGCTTCAAAATACATGAAGCAGAAACTCATGGAAACTACAAGGAGAAAGAGATACATCCAACAAACAGAGAGAAAATCAGTGAGGGTTCAGAAGATTTAAACAATGCTATCAACTAACTGACCTAGCTGGCATTTATAGAACATTCCACCCAACAATAGTAAAGTACAATCTTTTCAAGTGTACACCAAACATTTACTAAGATAGACCACACATTCTGGGTCATAAAACAAATCTTAATACATTTAAAAGGATTTAAGTCACACAAAGTATGTTCTCTAAACACAATGGAATAAAATTAGAAATCAGTAACAGAAAGATCTCTGGAAGATTCTCAAAATATTTGAAAACTAACATATTTCTAAATAACCCATAAGTCAAATAAGAAATCAAAAGGCAAATTAGAAAGGATTTTGAACTGACGGCAGAGTAAATGAAATAAGACTGGCAAGTGATGACTTTTGAGCTGGGCATATGATGGTTCATTATACTTTTATGTACGTTTGAAAATTAACAAACAAAAAAAGTTAAAAAAACCAGAATGCTGCTGTGTCAGAAATAACACAATATTATTTCCTTTTAAAATTTATGAATCTTAAATCCATTCTTCCTCAATTTAACCACTATTAGGAAGCATCTATCACAATTAACTGCACACATTCCTTGCCCCCAATCTACAGAAAATTGCTTTAGCCTTTCATCATTTGAGAATGCTTAGCTAGGGAATTTTAAAAAGAAAACAAAGATTCATATGTCCTGAAAAAACAAAGGCATTTCAAGCATTTCATTTCATCTACTCACCTTGTACTCTGCTTTTGAATGTGTAACAGCCATTCTTTCCTCCTCTGGGCTCTACTTTCAGGAAAAGAAAGTGGAATGAGATGTTGGGCCTTTCTTAGGGTATACTCTAAGTTAGAACACATCCTCCATCCCTGCCCCCACCCCCAACCCAACCATCTACCCCTTATTTAACATAGAGGAAAGTCAGAAGGAGACCACAACAGTTCTGTACTTTCTGTATCAGAAAGAAAGGCCCGCAAGATCACAGCTGTTTTGGGCTATAATGTATTTCTGGATTCAAAGCTGTCCACTGGAGACAGAGCCCTGCAGTAGAGTGCCACAGGTTCTAAAGTGTGTGGCTGGCTCCTCTAGCACACTCTCTGGAAGTATTCCCACTCCTGGAACCCCACTGCATTTCCAAGTGGCCTGTCTTGAAGGTGCTATCAGCTTTAAAATTCTCATCTCAAGACAAGGTCTGTGGCTTAGAAATAACCCATATTCTTCATTCAGGGGCTCAAATTTCTGACTTCCTTCCTTCCTGTCACTTCTCTGCATCCAATACCCTTAAGGCTATAAGGTGAGAGGGCACCGGGAAGCAGCGGGGACTCTACAACTACAATCCCAGGGTGAACTAAGGATGGATACAGAAATGAAGCAATACAGGCCATATGTCAACGGAGGGGGAGGGTAGTCACTGAGGTCAGAAAAGAAAGAAGTCAAGTGCTCAGAAGAGGCCAAAGCCACATGGGGGTCATGATCTATAGGCAGACTCAGCCCCAGGATGAGTCCCAGAAATACCAAAACTCAATGTCACCTCTGTACCTCACTAAACTCCCATTAGGTCCCAGACTATAAAATATACAAATGACCACAAAAAGTCACACACAATCACATTTTCACAGTCACACAGCCAGAGTTATAATCACCAAGTTAATGCTACATTGTCAGACCACCTAGTCTGAAACAAAATCCCATCACACACAGAGCAAACACACAATCACTCAAGCACATCCAAGCACCCTGTCAGGGACACACATGGCCAAAAACACCCTTTCACAGCAGCACTTTTACTTTCTTCACACAGTCGAGAATACGGCACACACACAATCATCCAATCAGATACTGAGAAAAACACAACCAATACCAGGTCAAGGAAACAAGCAGTCACAAAAACCGTGTCACTGCAACACTGTCAGAACACCTCAAAGTCACAGGCAAACCCCAGTAATACACGCGGGGCACATGCAATCACGTTGTCACATAAGCACATTCTCAGGTAAGCACGCGGTCACACACACAGTCACAGCAGCATTATCACACCCTCAGAGTCACAAACAACTCACACTCACACAAACGCTTATACACAAAACCTCAGTCGCACACGCCCATTCGTCCACACAGTCACCAATACCCGGCAGGCTGTAGCACGACATAAAACCGCAGGAGACACGGCCACACACGCTTCCTCCGAGCGTCTCCACCCTGGCATTCCGCACATCCTCACCTCGACAGAAGGTGCACTTTAAGGTCCAAGATCTGGCGCCTGGGCTCCAAACCCGATTTCGGGTCCGCCCGCCCTGCCGGAGCAGGGCCAAGCTCTTTCACAGACGCAGCCCTCTCCCCACGCGAGGCCCCCAAATCGCGCGAACAAACGGAAATGAAGCCGCGTTCGGGACGCGGAGGGCTCTGGGAAATGTAGTCCAACGCCAGGAAGGCTGTGGCCGGCTGGCCAGGACGCTAGGAGACCGAGGCTACTAACCCTCAGCTGGGTTTGTGGACCCCGCTGCTAGAACAGGCTCGCCCCAACGGCCGCGCCCCGGAGATTTCTGGGAGTGCCCGCCTGAGCTCAGTGCGCAGGCGTCGGGCGCAATCTACTGGAGCGGTTGCGGCCTCAGACAGGGAGCGATGAGTCGTCCGCGGGTCTTACTGCGTCAGAATGTGGGACCCGCCGGCAGGTGCTGGGGGGGAACTGGAGCGGGGCGGTAACCGACCAGCCGGAGCCTCGGACCGGAGTGAGACCCTCTGTGTGCCCTGCCAGGCCCTTTGGTGTGTGTGAATGTGTGCGAGACGACGCGAGATGTTGTCGGGCGGACTGGGAGTCCCTCAGTGGCCGGCTGTATGGTTGTGTTTCTGCCTGTGTGTGATTCTACGTGCTGAGGGGTGTGAGGCGATTCGTGCTTGGAGCCGCATGGTAATAGCATTTTATAAGTGTACGGGATTGTCTGACAGGGTCAGGGACCTCTGCTGTGTGGTTTGTGTCCATAATTGAGTGTGGTTTCGTGACTGGTGATGATATAAATGTGCTTTTCCCGTGCCTGTATTTCAGAGCGTCTGTAGGAGTTCGACTAGCGAAAGAGCGAGCATGCCTGTGACTGAAAAAGACAATGGATGGTCATTTCTTTCTTGAACACTGATGATCTGGAAAAGGTTATCAGTTTATCTGGCAAAGAATTTAAACATAATTTTTCTACTGGATCAAATACATGTATTATGGGGGAAAATGCAAAATTAGCATAGTTTTTTTTTTTTTTTTAAGAAAGATGGTTTCAAAGCCAGCCCCAGAGTAACTGCTTTTTCCTCTGCCACAGCCAGAGTAGGCATCCATTCTTTTCTACTCTTAGGGGGACATTATTGGGTCAGGTTGAGAGGCCATCGACTAATAAAATAATAAAATAACTTTATACATAAGAAGAGTGAATTTTAGTAGAGTCCAGCGTTAGTCGGATTTCCTGAATTCTAGGTCAAACCCTTGTCCCCGTTTTCTGATGAGCAAACCTTGGCTCACAGGGAGAAAGGAACTTAAGGCTATATGGTTTGTTGATAAGCCTGAACTTGTCTTCACTTACTTTAAGAACTCACGGTCGTTTTTTTTTTTTTCCGAATCATCACAAACTTTTAAACTTCCAGGACAGTGGAGATAGAGTTGTAATTCCGCCACTCCTCCAGGGGGAAAAAAATTAATAAAACTTGCTCTGACATTCAGGACCGTATACTAAATACTTTGATCTCTTCTGGGTAATGTGACTGGAGTAGCAAGTTTGGTGACCGGGATTGCTGAGGGAATGAACCTGTGTGCATGATCCAGTATAGCTATGTGAAATAAAGATGGTCAACTGCACTGACTTAGAGTGGGTCAGAGTGTCCAAGTGGAGCAAGAATTTTGTTAGGGTGTACAGGAGAGATGTAGATTGGTTTGTTTTTAGAGGTGACACATTCTGGTTTCGGATTAGACAGCATGCATTGATCTCAAGCCATATCTGTTTGATTCTGGGTTCTCTCTTGGCTTCTGAATATTTGTGATGACTGCTTGCAAGAAAAAGGAGGCTATTTTGTTTAAAAGTAAAAAATAGGAACTGTTAACCTGAGACGAATAGATTCCAAGGGATGGGCTTCTTGTTATATATTAAACTTGTGGCATTTCGTATGTGTAGATATAATGTGAATTTTTTTTTTCCCCAAAGAAAGTACAGGCAGTTTTATCAGATTCACAAAGAGGTACTTTAACCCAAAAAAGGTTAAGACCATTAGAAATACAGACTGCAGGAGCTGAGGAGGTCTTTTTTTTTTTTTTTAGCATACTATGTGATATATTTAATATAAAAAATAGTATGTATTTTATGGAAGGATACACACCAAACTCCTGTCAATAGCAACCTTTGGGGTGAGAAGAGAGCACTGACGGTAAGGAGGGAGAAATATCAAAGGGGACTTTAAGCATTACTGATAATCTCTCTTTTTTTTTTTCTTTACAAGGAAAACATATTACTTGTGCATTTAAATTTTAATTTTAAAATTCAAAAGAAAACGGAGACGTTGAAGATTTTGGAGCAAGAAAGTGAGCCAAGGAACTTAAACGCTGTGGAAGGAGGCAAAATCCAAAAAAAGATGCCCCTTAGGAAGACTGCAGAGAGAAAGGGATACTCAGGCAATAATTTTTCATAGGCCTCAGGTACCTTATCAGCTGGCTGTTTCAGATTTATGTCGTTATGACCCGTTTTGACCTTGCAGACCTCTAAGAATTAGTTATCTCTTCAGCCCAGCAACTGGATTCAGCCCTGTGGTAGTGGCTGCCCATGAACAGCACTGGTAAGTACGTTCTCTTTCCTGGCACTGGATCATTTTCTTTGAGAGTCTTTGTCGATGCTGGCAAATGATTTTAACCTTTTTCCAATAGATAGGGTTTATACCAGTACCTGTGAGTCAGGCATTTAATCAGTGGTCCTGGGAAAGTATTTGAGGCACTCTGGTATTTTTATAATTATTGTTCCCTAAGTTTTTATTTTTTTTTTTATTTTTTATTTATTTATTTTTTAACCATTTTTTTAATTTTTTTTATTTATTTATTTTCCCCCCAAAGCCCCAGTAGATAGTTGTATGTCATAGCTGCACATCCTTCTAGTTGCTGCATGTGGGACGCGGCCTCAGCATGGC